GACTTCACCACATTTGTAGGGATACAGTAAACCCATCAGCACTTTTCGTCCTCAGCCTTCTTACTTCCGTTGTTTCATTCGTTAGTTCACTCAAAAGGGTGAATTTAGACTGGAACACAACTTTCAAGCCAAGTTAAAACTATCGTCTGTTCTACTTTTTACTCTGGTTGCGTACGCAGCGAAATACATGCTTATATACACTTAACGTTTTCAGCTTTTCCCCGTATTGATGAATTGCCTAGCTATTCAAAGCGTTTGGGATAGCCACAGTTTCTTGATGCTTCCGTTATGTGATTCAGTTTTCCTCAGGGCTCACCGTTTTACCGCTTCTGATAAGAAACTTAGCAATTCCATTCATTACTCCATACTGATGATATGACGTGAATCGCAGGAAACAATTTATTTGGGTCGGTCCGCGGCATGCCTCTGTTTTATAGCAGTTTTCCCCTCCTGCAATCAATACGTCCAACGGGTGTAAAATGCCGTTTTTTCCGGCACTCAATGTGAATTGAGTGCCGTCTGAACGTTGAGGTGAATTTTATTAATGGTTCAGTTGTCACATTCACTTGTAAGATATAAAATATATTGTTGAGAGACATTATCATTTGCCGTTGTTTCGTTATCGTAATCTGAGGTTAACAAAACCTAAGTACCGGCGTAATCCAGATTTATGATGATTTATTGCTTCACCGTCTCATCATTGTGCAACTTCATAGATGGAGACCGAATTGGCTACAAAAACTGCACACGTCGAGGTGGCTGTTGGCCTGTCTTTCGATCGGTGCTACAGCACAAAGTATGGTGATCAACGGCCTCGTTCCGGCAAGCATAACGACGCTAGAGAAAAAGTTTGGAATCAGAGGAGGCGAAAGCGGCCTATACTCCAGCATGTACGACATATCCGTGGTTCTGGCGCTGTTTCCCGTGTGCTACTTCGGAGGGGGTAGAGGTAATAAATTTGCACCAATGATACTTAAAATTTTTTTTTTCATTTTGGGTTTTTTTCAACGCAGGCAGTAAAAGCCGATGGCTCGGAACCGGGGTGTTTGTCATGGGCCTGGGGTCATTCGTCAGTACGCTTCCGCAGTTCTTCTCGCCAGCCTACGACCTGAACGGAATCGGCAATGACAGAGGCGACGTTTGCGAGATCAACTCGACCAGAAATTATGAAGTCACCGGACCGGTGGCTGTTGGCAACGGGTGGTACTTCTACTTCGTCCTGTTACTCGGACAACTGCTGCATGGCATTGGTGCTTCGCCACTGTATACGTTGGGCATCAGTTACCTCGACGAAAATGCGCCTCCTCGTTACTCAGCCCTCTACATTGGCATTTACTACGCCTGCAGCACGGTCGGAGCAGCAATTGGTTTCGTTTTAGGAGGGTTCTTTCTGAACATCTACGGCGACGTTGACAAAGTCCAAATGGAAAAGTATGACCCTTGGCGGCTGACCGCCAATTTTGAAGCCTTTCAGCATTTTAGTATTACCATTCAATCGTCTCATTCAAAATGGTATGGAGCTTGGTGGATTGGATACTTGATCACCGGGTTTATAGCCATGTTGATCAGCGTGCCGTTGGCATCCTTTGGCAAGGAATTGCCGGGTATGATTGAAACTATTTGCAAAATTCCGTTTATTGAACATTTAAACCAACAGAAACATGCAAGTAAACTTGCTTTGATAACAAGATCTACCCTTGGTATTCTGCAGTAACCAAAATAGGTCTATTTTAGGAATCGCTGGTGAATAGTTTGAATTATTGGGATTTTGAATAAGTTTCCTTTAAAGCATGAACTTCTTTACAGTGAAAAGTAGAAACATTTTTGGTATATTGTTTATAATGCATGAGCGATATTTACCTAGAAAGAATTTGCAAACTCAGATAGTATCTTCTCCTTCAGTACAAGCAAGCAATTACGTACTACGGCAAAAATAGGCAAGAAACAAAAAGATGCAGTACATTCTGCAAGGTTACTAGGGTCGGTCTTTCTTTTCTACCGTTTGTTTTTGTCCAATGATTTGTATAGTTTCATTAAATAATAATGATAAGCAAGGCCATGTCAACCTTCTCTCTTTGAGTATCTCTGGTATGTAGCCAATGGACTACGAAAAACTCTGTAGTTGTCTCGAAGATTTACTACGAAATTTCTCATGGCCATTGCTCACATATCAGAGATGAGGCGAGGCACAATGTTGGCATGGCTCACAGAAAAATTCAGTGACTGATCTTGACCTTCAATGGTCTTCATTCTTGTTCTATTGTACAAGCTTTGTTCTTGGCTTCCGGTAAACAGCAAGTTTTCTTTTTGTCAGACATAAGTGGGGCCCATTCTACTACTTTGATTAGACGACAGCCGCGGGTGCACCGCTGTGCTGCTTTGCATGATGCTACGCTCAACTTTGGTGATTGTAGAAAAACGCTCATTGTATTTTACTGCCAGTAATATATCGATGCCTCTTGCATTATTTTCATTTCATAGGGCACTACCTTACTAGTCAGAAATCAGTATTTGTTATGTGTTATTGTAGTATACGTTGTGCATAATATATCATTGATCACTTGTGTATATGTGTATCCCTTCTGTATTTCGTATTTCAGTCCTTCCCCTCACCCGTTAATTGATTCAATTAAAATTGCGTACTATGTATTCTAAAGTATAGGTGATTCTACCTCGAAAATGTTGTAGAGGCAAAAGAAAACAATAACCACAGAATCGATCAAGCAAATTTGGCTAGCAAATTAAAGATTGATGTGAAACTTCATGAGGATCCGAAAGCTCTTCCAAAACTTTGCTTGGTTAGTGCATCAAGAGATATCGTAGAACGATTGCTGTTTGACTGAAACGTTGCAGGGTCTTCTTTCCAACTTCACCTTCACATGTTTGATGATCAGAGAATGCGTTGAAGCGCTGTTGCTGAATGGCTTCACGACCTTCATTCCAAAGATCATTCAGAACTCGTTTTCCATGTCTGCTAGCTCTTCGTCGATGATTACAGGTAATATGTTACTGTGAATTTTACTCCATATTCATTCATTAAATTATTAATATTTCTGATGTGATTGCATTAGCCTTATAATATGCAACAATAGGTCTTATTATTGTACCATTTGCGGTGGTGGGAAGCGTACTAGGCGGATACTTGGTTTCGCGTTTGAACCTGAAATGTCGTGGAATCATATTAGTGGCTGCCGCATGCCATTTTGTATCGACGGTATTCATCGCAGCGTTGCTGGTCAGCTGCCCAGAGCAGCGGTTAGTCGGGGTCGACATTCCTTATGAAAATAAGTAAGTGCTTATACATATATATATATATCTTTAAAACGACGAAGAAATTTCTTAGTCAGATCTCTTTCTACAGAAACAAAATTCCGGACAACACCAATAATATGCATTATTAGGACATGTGCAATATGCGTAGTTTAGACTCATCATGAGCAAGGTGCTTGTTGCTTGTGGAAGAAGTACGATTTCGATCCATATTCGTACCTATGATCCTGGAACTGAAAAATTCTTTACATGAGCAACTCTGCTGCTTAAGTTTCGTCTGACCTTCAGCAGAGGTAGCAAGAATAACAACACACGTATATATCTAAAATTAATGTCTATTCCGTGTCTTTTTTTCTTTAAGAAACTGGAACTTCTATGGTCTTAGATACAGCGAAAAAGACGGACGGTTGCCTTTACTATGTCCGCTGATTTTCTTGAGATGACTAATGTAGTTAAGACCGTCATCCCTAAATTTCGTTGTGTCTAGGTCCCTTGAAACACCATTTTGCGGTATATGTTTAAAGGAAGAATTTTTCTTCAAGGTTTCATAACTGAAGGACCTTTCTGTTTTGTAGTCTGATACGCACTTTCGAAGC